TCCCCGCATAGGAGGATCTGGCTCGAATTTGAATTCACTTATTAACCCGCGCATCATCCACAGACGCCACATGTGTTTCTACAACATGCTCGCCGAGGACCATGCTGGTGTTTGGAGATATTTTATAGTTAAGCATTGTCGACTTCTTTTTACCTGCTTAGGAGGACCGGGTTTAAATTTGTTTACCTGCATAGCATCCCTATATGTCACGTGTATTCCAATAACATGTTTGTCGGGGCCCGTGCGGATATTTTAGAATTTCATTGATTTGACATATCCCTTTTATGTACCTATGTGTATACAAACTACGGTGCACGTGCAGGAGCATTTTTAGATATTTAGCTTTAATCAATTGAGCGAGCAACCATCATTTGGATGCAATGCTTTACTTTCACACATGCCTTCTGTCCGCTTGTATCTATGTTGCGGATTCGGTGGCGTGACGTTGTAGATTGTAAATGCCTTATGTCTGCTTATATGAGTGTTGCAGATCCGGTGGCATTTTGAGTACACGGCGAGTCTCCTACAACAGCTTGTAGGCATTTGTATTTATCATGTGTTTGCTACCCCTTTGCTCGTAACAGCTTATTGTTTTCACAACAAATCTATTGCAATGGCCTATAGGTGCTTGAGTTTGATATATATCTTCTGCCTTTGTATGTAACAAGTCAATTTATTGGCCTATAACTAAATAGTATTAACTACATGGAAGCTACATTATCAAAGACGCAACTTCTTTCAGTTCCTTGCATGTTGAATTTCCTTTTCACTTACGAATGACATATACTGCACTGAGCAGGCCAACTACGACAACCTATAGGAGCTTGCATTTGTTATTGTCATTTGGCACCTTATTCGTAGAGAACATCTTGTGTGTATAACGAGTCTCCTACAAGGTCTTGTAAATATTCTATGTTTGCTACATTATCTACTTTACTTGTAGGTAACCAATATATTTGCTTATAAATGGCACGTTGAGTATGTACATGTATTTGCAGAAGATTTGCTATATTTACAATACATTTTCCCCCATTTGCTTGTAAGTGGGACCACTGTATGCATTGCAAGGCTCTTGTCATCATCTCTTCAACCTGTCGGTCAATTGTTGTATGTATGATAAACTTCCTACCATTTCCCATAGGTCTTTGGATTTGCAATGGGTTCTTGCACTTCTGCATATATATGATCTCTCATACTTACAACATTCAGTTGTAATTTTTCCAAATAGATCACATCTGTGGTCATTGCTTGCAAGTAGGTTGTTGCATATTTTCTAATCATGTTCGTAGGAGACCTATTACACTCATTGTGATTTTCTTCATGAACAAATTATGCGAACATCACATGCTTTCATTGTCTCTTGTATATCGTGAAACTTCTACTTGCTTTTTGGTATTGGTTTAAAGATATGGAACCTTGTCCTTCAGGATTTTACACTTTTGACCTTGTTGTGCTATCACCAACTTAAGGGTCCAAAGCTCACATATCATGGCTTCGTAATCAAGCCTTACTTTTTCACAATCTTCTGGTTCCTTGCAAATGAGTCACACTTGGAAGTTCTTTATTTTCAAAGATAATTTGAAATTTGTATGATGAGCTTGATATCATGCTCTTCAATATTTTCATTCCCAATTGAAATGCTCGCTACAACTTCATAGTTATTGCTTGAAGCTTCATGTCAAAGTTTGCAAATCATTTACTATACTCCAAAGTTCTCATGTGATAGTTTTGTAACCAAACCATATCTTTCATAATTCTCTTTTTATGTGCTTATTGATATCTCCATCTCAATTGAGATGACAATTGCAAAATTTTTATTGTCCAAAAATCTCATGTTAGAGCACATGATTAATTCATGCATGAATATTTGATTTTATCATTCATATAGTTCACAATTTTTTTATTTTATTATGCTTTAATTTAAGTTAGATTTAAAGTCAATTATTCAATGCTCATTTGAGTCCAATCTTCAAGTTTCAGATTATTTATATTTTTGTTCACTTGATGTTCCAACCAAATTTAGTCCCCATTCATATCCTTGCTTGAGTTCAATTAGCAAGCTCAAGTCATATGCCCCATGTAGTCCTTGCAAGTTCAAGTTTGAGTCTTTGTTCAATTTGTCCAAAATTTGTCCAAGTCTGGTATTTCAGTGAAAATTTCGGCAACCTCCCGACGTCTCCCCTATTTAGGGGGAAAAACCAAGAGGCAACCATCCCCTCGACGCTACATGAGCGCTTCAGGTAGGTGTCAAAATGACACCGCGATTGCATATTTTTTTATCCCTGCCCATTACAGTGATGTGTGGCGCAAAGGCACGTATTGCTTTATTCACATGCTTGGATCGTTTCTCGTGTGGATTGAGGTATAGGGGTCAACATCCTGATCATAAAATTAAAAAAAAAAGTACTAGATAAGTAATCAATCAATCCAGCTTTCAAGCAAGGAAATCATTTTTTTAATGGCTTCCAGCAGCACCGGAACAACATCTTTTGGTTCATCAATTATGCTAAGGAATTCTGAATATGAAGAGAATCTTCAGGCTTTGATGGATCAGAAGAAGAGGAAGAGAATGATCTCCAATCGAGAATTAGCAAGGCGGTCAAGGCTGAGGTTCAACTTTTACTAATTTTGTTTGATTATTATCATGCTTCTTTATAAAATTTGGCCTTTAAATGACTTAAACTTACATGGTTTCATATATAATAAAATATTTTTACATATTCAACTATATATATATATATACCTGCCGGTACATTTGGTCCTTGTGTCTCCATAGATTAAGCCGAAGGTTCCGCAGGCTTGGTAACTCAGGCTTGTTGCTAACGGAGGCAGAGTCATCTGGCGCTTGTGGTGAAGACGAGGAGGAAGATGAATTGGAAGCCATTACTGTAACGAAAGAAAGAATGGAAATGGCAGGGAATGGAGAAGACTCTGTGATGGTTTACGTGCATGGATGGAATGCGAATGCGATGATTATTTAAAGGAATGGATGGAACAAGTGCATGCATGCATGCATGATAGGTTATACGCTTATTTATGCAGACAAGATCTTCTTTTCCATGTTGGAATTCATTTCTATTGATGGCTAATTATAGAACTGTGAATTTGGATGTAGAAAAGAATATCGTTTTAAAATATCAGTTAAGTATTTAATTTGGAATGAGTTTGGGTAGACTTAAATGAGCCAATGAACGAGTTTTGTGTTAGAATTTGTGATCTGAATTATGTTGGGATTGGGCCAAAAAGTTCACAGTGGGACATCTACAGGTAAGCTGCTCTGATGATATGAACCCATATTTTTTTTGTGTGCGTGTATATATATATATATATATGGAGGAGGCGAAGGTGACCACCACCCGGAGAAGTTCAGGATATTAAAGAAAATAGAATAGCTTTGCTATTCTTTCTGAACGCATTCAAATCTCAAAAAACTCAATGCAAGGGCAAATTATTGCATCCGGTCAACGGACGCGGAGATAAGTCCGGATATTAATAAAATATTATTTTAAATTAAGTGCATCAAAAGCGCAAGCCAAAGCGCAACTAAAGCGCAAGTAAAGCGCAAGTCAAAAGCGCAGTCAAAAGCGCAGGTGACGTGGCAAATTTTTATTAGATGTCCGAACCTATTCTCCGCGTCCGGTGACCGGATGCAATAATTTGCCCAATGCAAGAGTGGGGATATCCCTCTATTTATAAGGTAGCCACAATGGTCTTTTTTGGAGGGAATTATCAAAGAAAATAGAAATTACAATAAAAAAGAAATAACATCTAACAAAAGAGAGGAGGTGGATTTGGTTGGCTGAACCGGTCTGGATAGGTCCATCCGGTATCATTCTTCCCGTCTCTCCTAGACTTCAGCAAAAGCTAAAGTCGATAAAACTTCTGAGGAATCTAAGGATCTTATCCTTTTTCTTTTCTTTCTCATCACCAGATTCTTATATATAACATATATGATGGCCCTCTCAGCAATAAGGCAAGCTGAATTAAACCTGACACCAAATTGACCAATAATGCTAACATCAGCATCCATTGCCTGCTCCTCATGAACTTTGTGATGGAATGCATGAAGGTACCAAGTGGTTGACATGATCAGGTTTGGTCATACCAATTCCAATATCATTGATGGAGAGCGTATTTGTTGCCTTTCTAAAATGATATGAATGAATAGTTTTGGCTGGGTATCTAGCTTGATTTTTTTATCATCATATATGGGCTTATCAAAGCTAAGAACTCCAAAGAATATGTCATGATCATACTCATCATGATGCAGTGCATCACCTCCACCACGTGGCCAAGACCGTTAAAGGGCCAGATGAGTTCCACTCCCACCGTTACCTCCTTCTACCGCTACAGTACTATTTTTACTTTTTGGTTGTTAGCCCCACTTTAGTATTTTCCTTTTAGTATTATTATCAATACTAAAAACTACTTATACTCTTCGTGAAGAGGGAGGAGCGGATTATTGTTTTTACACAGAATTTCCTATTATCTTCTTCAATAGAAGTTCGCCTGAAGCTAAAATCCTTTAGCGTGTTTTACTGTTCCATTGGCTTTTGTCCCGTTCTTCTTATTTTTTTTTCTCCCTGCAGGTTTCTTCCCCACGGCGACGGCGATCCTGAGTGCATCAGCTTGGTATCAGAGCCTATTCCGGTGGGATGACGGACAAAGGGAAGGAGCAGGCTACCGACGAAGCTCGAAGCCTAGAAGCATTGTGGACAAGTAGGCCAACATCGTGTGATAGTTGAATACATTGTCGGCAGATGTACAACGCCTATCCATCGACTTGCATCGCGAGTTCAATCTCAACCGGGCAAGGAACATATCCCATCAGCCGCGACGAGGGCCGGAACCAACGATGGTTATCGGGGGGCGACGTGGCATGGGCCTTGAGCGGAATGGACGCCGAATTCCCCAGCCGCTTCCACATTTGTCTGAATCAGAGGACGAATTGCCACTAGTTAGAGAAATGGAACCGGTGGAGTGACGTTGATGACGACGGTATGAGCCAAATTGCTGAGGATCCGAGAACTCGACGACGTCAACCACACTATCGGGGAAATTCCGAATTCAAGGTCAAAATCGATATTCCTTTCTTTGATGGGCATTTACATATAGAAGACTACCTTGATTGGGAGAGGGCGGTGGAGAACTTCTTTGAGTACATGGAAATAGATCCCTCCAAACAGGTCATGTCTGTCGCCTGCCGATTGCGAAGCGGGGCTAGCGCGTGGTGGGCTCAACTCTTAATGACTATACAGCGAGAAGGGAAGGGATCCGTGCGTAGCTGGGTCCGAATAAAGCAACTCCTGCATGCTCAGTTCCTATCCACTGACTACGAGCATATTCTCTATATGAAATACCAACATTGCTTACAGGGCAATCGATCCGTTAACGAATATATCGAGGAATTTCATCGGCTCAGTGCTAGAAACAATCTCAATGAGACAATGAACCAACTGGTTGCCCGGTACATAGGTGGTCTCAAATACAGTATACAGGAGAAATTGGAATTAAATTCCATATGGTCGCTCTCTCAGGCGATCAATTTTGCATTGAAAGTAGAAATGCAACAACTCCGCGCTCCCCGATTCATGAATGCACGTAGCAGTCCTCAGTCTGCTGACCAGAACAGAGGAACTTTAGCAGCAGCTAAGGCGTCCAGTAGCAATTACAAGCCGGTAGTCCCCAGCCCTGACAACAAGAGTGCTCCAAAGGAAAAGGTTCCCGCCCAAGGAAATCCGTATGCAAAGCCATCGACACTCAAATGTTTCCGCTGTTTTCAACCCGGCCATAAATCCAATGAATGCCCCCAACGCCAACAACTCCAGTTCCTTGATACGGAAGAGGGGGAAGAAACGACGGGTCAGAATGAGAACGATGAAGCAGAATTTGAAGACCTTGAAGGAGATGAGGGCGAACCTCTAATGTGTGTCTTAGAGAAACTGTTAATAGCTCCCCGTCAAGATAATACTTCCCAACGTAATGCTATTTTTAAGACACGATGTACCATTAACGGTAAGGTCTGTGACCTTCTCATCGACGGCAGTTGCACAGAGAATGTTATATCCCGATCTGTCGTCCACGCTCTCCAACTTAAAACTACAAAGAACCCTCAACCGTATAAGATCAGTTGGGTAAAGAAAGGAATTGATATTTCCATGACGGATATGTGCCAAGTCACATTTTCTATCGGGCGGCAATATGTCTGCGAGGTACTCTGCGACGTATTAGATACGGACGTCTGCCACTTGATACTCGGCCGACCGTGGCAGTTCGACGCTGGTGTCACGTATGACGGCCGCGCTAATGTATATTCACTAGACTAGAAAGGCAAGAGACTCAGGCTACTACCGGGAACCAGTGTGAACAATCCAAAAACTGCCAGCAGTTCAACTTCGGCGGCAATGCAGATAGTATCGGGACCAAATTTACTTCTATCTTGGCAGAACTCTGCCATCTTATGGGCTCTTGTTGTAACCGATTCCTCCCCTACACCTACTTCAGACATTCCCGTTAATATCGCAGCACTTTTGGAAGAATTCAGGGATGTTTGCCCAGCTGAATTACCATTCGAACTGTCGCCGCTGCGTGCAATTCAACACCAAATTGATTTACAACCCGGTGCCTCCTTACCGAACTTATCACTTTATAGGCTCAATCCCACGGAACAATAAATTATGCAGGACATCATTGACGACTTATTGAGTAAATAGCTCATTCAAGCCAGCATCAGTCCATGTGCGGTACCCGCATTACTTGTTCCTAAGAAAAATAAGGAATGGCGCTTATGTATAGACAGTCGGGCAATTAACAAGATAACGATCAAGTACCTTTTTCCCGTACCGAGGATCGACGAACTCATTGATAAACTGATAGGCGCCTCCGTGTTCTCCAAGCTGGACTTACATAGCGGATATCATCAGATTCGTATCCGGCCAAGTGATGAGTGGAAGACGGCCTTCAAGACTCCGGTAGGCCTCTACGAGTGGCGCGTCATGCCCTTTGGGCTGTGTAACGCCCCTTCGACATTCATGAGAATGATGTAAGACATTCTTAAAATTGTATGGGGACCGTTTTGTATCTCTTACTTTGACGATATTCTTGTGTATAGTACCTCACTGGACAGCCATATTGAGCACCTGCGACAAATTTTCGTCATCCTCCAAACCCATAAATTGTTTCTCAATCTCCCGAAGTGTGAATTCGCCACTTCTCATGTCCATTTTCTTGGGTTTATTGTATCCAAAGACGGTGTCCAAATGAATCCAAGCAAAGTCGAAGCTATTTTGAATTGGCCAATTCCGAGCTCCCTCTTTGAAATCCGGAGTTTTCACGGTCTGGCTAATTTTTATCGAAAATTCATCAGGGGATTTAGCATCATTATGAGTCCGATCACCGACTGTTTGAAGGCCAAAGAATTTCATTGGGACGATCGGCAACAAAACAGCTTTGAAGCTATAAAGCAAGCACTAACTTCAGCTCCAGTTCTCTCCATCCCCTGCTTCGACAAGTTTTTCACGGTGGAAACAGACTCCTCTGCTGTGGGTGTTGGTGCTGTAATGTCACAGGAAGGGCGTCCCGTTGCCTATTTCAGTGAGAAACTCTGTCCATCCAGGCAAAGATGGTCTACATATGAACATGAACTATATTCGGTAATTCGGGCTCTCAAGGAATGGGAGCATTATCTGCTACATCAAGAATTCGTGATCCGCACGGACAATCGAGCACTCCAATTCATAAATAGCCAGAAGACTGTGAATCGAATGCACGCTCGTTGGATCTCCTTTCTTCAAAAGTTTTCCTTCTTACTCAACTACTCAAGCACCAAGCTGGGAAGCTGAATACAGTGGCCGACGCCCTCAGCCGGAAATGAGTGCTGCTTGCTCAACTCCAGACGAAGTTTACAGTACTCACGTGCATTCAACAACTATACGCGGATGATGCTGATTTCGGAACCATCTGGGCAACTTGTCATCAAGGAACCACCGTATCAGGTTACTGCATTCATCATGGTTTCCTTTTTCATCATAATCTCCTTTGTATTCCTGCATCTTCTTGGCGACAGCATCTTATCTGGGAAGCTCATTATTGAGCTCTAGCGGCACATACTGGTCGTGACAAGTCCTTAGCTCAAATGAAGAGCCGGTTCTACTGGACGAGGTTACGCCGTGATGTTTTTCGCTTTGTTGATCGCTGCCCCGTCTGTCAAAATTATAAAGGAGGTGCACAAAACACAGGCCTTTATATGCCTTTACCAGTTCCCGATTCCATCTGGGAAGATCTCAGCTTGGACTTCGTCCTCGGACTTCCCCGCATGAAGAAAGGTAACGATTCGATTATGGTTGTCGTCGATCATTTTCCAAAGATGGCTCACTTCCTTAAATGCAAAAAGACCTCCAATGCTCTTCACATCGCCCATCTGTTTTTTCACCAAATCGTGCGTCTTCATGGCATTCCACATAGCCTTACCTCCGACCGTGACGTCAAATTCATTAGCCATTTTTGGCGAAAACTGTGGAAACAATTGGGTACCGATCTCCGTCTCAGCTCGGCCTACCATCCCCAATCTGACGGTCAGACGGAAGTGGTAAATCGAACTTTAGGGAACATGCTCCGCTGCCTTGTACAGGAGTACCCGATGCAATGGGAGGAAGTCATGACCACAGCCGAGTTTGCTTACAATTCCATGGTGAATCGATCCAGTGGTAAGACTCCATTTAGCATCGTCTATACTAAAATTCCCAATCTTGCATTGGATGTAGCTGTGCTTCCCAAATGCAAATCGGGTGCTGCTACGAGTTTCACCGACCAGTACTCACAGATGCTTGAGGATGTCCACCGGCAGCTGACTAAAGCTAACCTCAAATACAAGGCCTCCGCCAACCTCCATCGTCGCCAATCTGTGTTTAATGTTGGCGACCTCGTCATGGTACGTCTTCGCCGAGAATGTTTTCCACCGGGCACTCATTCTAAGCTGAGCCGCCGCAAAATTGGTCCAGTCCCCATTATCGCAAAGATCAACGATAATGCCTACACGGTGGAGTTACCACAAGGGTATACAGCCTCACCAACCTTCAACGTTTCTGATTTATGGCAATATCATCCTCCCGATGATGCTCCGATCATGATCAGCTCGTCGGAGTCGAGCTCTTCCAATGCCGGGGAGGACTGATGCAGTGCATCACCTCCACCACGTGTCCAAGACCGTTAAAGGGCCAGATGAGTTCCACTCCCACCGTTACCTCCTCCTACCGCTACAGTACTATTTTTACTTTTTGGTTGTTAGCCCCACTTTAGTATTTTCCTTTTAGTATTATTATCGATACTAGAAACTACTTATACTCTCCGTGAAGAGGGAGGAGCGGATTATTGTTTTTACACAGAATTTCCTATTATCTTCTTCAATAGAAGTTCGCCTGAAGCTAAAATTCTTCAGCGCGTTTTACTGTTCCATTGGCTTTTGTCCTGCTCTTCTTATTTTTTTTCTCCCTGCAGGTTTCTTCCCCACGGCGACGGCGATCCTGAGTGCATCACATCATGATTTCCGTAATAAAATTTTAAACCCATCCAAGATGGACTCAATCAAAGGTGCAGAGAAAGACATACAGTTTGGCCCTTCAAAAACATCATTGTAGGAAGAAGAAGTAGTCTTTAGGAAAGGAAGAGTTCACTATTTTTGGATCGTTTGGATAAGCCACATTGATCTGCATGTGGAGGCAACTAGAAGAATACAATAATCTGCAAGAGGGATAGAAGAAGATCTGTCGTCAGACCCTATCTTGGCGATGGCGGTGATCAGCCATAGGAAGGGGAATATACGCCTACCACCGGAGGTGAACATAGTGCTCTATGTGTGAAACCTTTTGACAATATAACGAGCGAGGAGATGCATGATATATTTAGTAAATACAAAGTAATTCTCTAGATTCAGATCATGACGAGTAAATACAAAGCCCTTGTTCATCTCATGTGGTCTTGGCCACCACCAGCACCGAGAGACTAGAGCTTCTTAATAATGACGAACACATTCTCAGCATCAAGATCATCGGAGGTGATCATCGATCGCCTAAAGAACCACTTCTTTTATAAAGGTACTAATCAACTGTAATCTGAAGTCCTTTGCAGAGGTTGGTGTTTGGATAAATAATAACATCAACAAAACTTCTTACTTGAGCTGAGCTAAACGAAGGAGGAGAAGGTGACCACCATCTAGAGAAGTCCATGATACAGAAGAAAATAGAACAACTTTGCTATTTTTTCTTCATTCAAAACTAAAAAAAATTCAATACAGGAGAAGGGATATCCCTCTAATTATAAGGAAGCCACAGGGGTCCTTTTTGGATGGAATTATTAAAGAAAATAGAAATTACAATAAAAGAAAGAAACAACATCTAACAAAAGAGAGGAAGGGTTTGACGGGATGAACTGGACTGGATAGGTCCACCAAGTGTCACTCTCTAATTCATTTCTTATGTATTTGGAATGTTGGGATGTGGAAGTAAACCACACAATGAAATAATTAGGAGAAATTGAAATGTCAATAGAAAGTAAAGGACGCCAGAATTTAACATGAAAAAACCTGATATCGAGAAAAAAAATCAAGGAACCAGACAACACTAAGAAATTCAGTATGAAAATTGGGAGAAAAAGAACAAATCTCTCTACTCTATCACTCTTTCCTTACATCCCTTCTCTCTTTCATAGTTCTTATACAAGAAATAAAAGACAAAAATATAATAAAACCACTAAGGGAGGCCATCCTAAAGAAAAACTCTCTAGTCCACCTCACAGTGCTGTGGCGCTAGTTTAGAGCATTGTGGTACTCAATGCTCTATCTCCAATCCATCTGATAGTGGTGCACGCTGAATTTAGAGCACTGTGGCGCTCTATTCTGACTTTTCTCCCAATAAACTTTGTAGCGCTAGGGTGCAGTAAAACAACGCTAGGGCTCTCAGTTACATATCCCTAGGAGCTCGAGTACATAATGTCAGGCACACAGTGTCAGGCACTTGGGTACACATCACTAGGGTATCAAGGTTGAGGTCCAAGGAAATGGTAATTAAGCCTGATTGATCAACATAATTAGATTCCACACAAACAAATAATCTCTCACTTGGAATTGATTGTGATCAATCCTTCTCTCAATATGTACCACCAATCATAGTACTTATAATGTGGCTCACCCCTGCTCTCATCCTATATGAAGTTTAATTGAAGTTACATATAGCTTCAATTTATCAACTATCATCTTCTTCATCAGCTTGTTTGCAGGATTCTCAATTGTTCGTATCATCTGATGATAGCTGACCATCTGCTAAAAGAAACC